TATTGCAATCTAGCGCTCCTTTTAGATATATTAACATTTGCTTTATATATTTGGGTGCTCTGGTGTTGGGTGAACATATATTTACTATTGTTATATCCTGTTGCTGAGTTGATCCCTTTATATTAATAATGACCTTCAGGTCTTTTTAGTTTTTGACTAAAAGTCTATTTTATCTGATATAAGTATAGCTACTCCTGCTCTTCCTTGGTTTCCATTTGCATTGAATATCTTTTTCCATTTCTTTACTTTTAATGTATATGTGTCTTTATAGGTGAAGTGAGTTTCTTATAGGCAGCATATAGTTGGGTCTTGTTTTTTAATCCATCCAGCAACTCTTTGTCTACTTTCAAATTTATTTTTTATTTTTTATTTTTATTTTTATTTTATTTTTTTGAGACAGAGTCTTGCTTTGTCACCCAGGCTGGAGTGTAGTGGCATGATCTCAGCTCACTGCAGGCTCCACCTCCCAGGTTCATGCCATTCTCCTGCCTCAGCCTCCCGAGTAGCTGGGACTACAGGCACCTGCCACCATGCCTGGCTAATTTTTTAGTATTTTTAGTAGAGATGGGGTTTCACCGTGTTAGCCAGGATGGTCTCCATCTCCTGACCTCGTGATCCTCCCGCCTCAGCCTCCCAAAGTGCTGGGATTACAGGCATGAGCCACCATATCCAGCCTACTTTCAAATTTTTTGAGACAGAATTTTGCTCTTGTTTCCCAGGCTGGAGTGCCATGGTACAATCTCAGCTCTCTGCAACCTCTGCCTCCCAGGTTTAAGCAATTCTCCTGCCTCAGCCTCCCGAGTAGCTGGGATTAAGGCACGTACCACCACGCCCGGTTACTTTTTGTATTTTTAGCAGAGACGGGGTTTCTCCATTTTGGTCAGGCTGGTCTTGAACTCCCGACCTCAGGTGATCCTCCTGCCTCGGCCTCTCAAAGTGCTGGGATTGCAGGCATGAGCCACTGCGCCCAGCTACTCATGTCGTATGTTTAACATTTATAACAGAGAAAAAAATTGGGCTGCATATGATGTGACTACAGCAATGAGACAGATTTTCTTGGCATGATCTCAATCCTTGGTCTCCCATCCACACCCCCTACACATGTGGCTCTTACCTGCTGCTGTATAGCTCTGCCTTAGCTCCATCTTGCCCTTACATGTTTGTGAGTGTGTCTCCTGTCTGTCATTTCAAAAGGCAAGATTCACTCTGTGTCCCACCACCTCCCATAGCACCTGAATGAATGAATGAATGAATCTCCAGAGGAACTGAGAATGCCAAGGACACAGGATGAAATGTAATAGCTAAACAGGGTTTAAGAGAAGAGCAGTTTGAGCACACCCCTGAATTACGTCTAAGTTACTGAGTTATGAAGCCTGAAAGCAGAGAATTGAGTTTGTGAAATTCAAAGTAAAATATGCACAAGATTGGTATAAATCAAATATGCCATAAAGCTAATGAAAAAGTGGAATTTATCTTTACTAGACAGGGTTGGCCTCATTACCCGCTCGTGTCTTCTCTTCTCGTCTTTCCTGCCACTTGTGAGTAATGAGGCTCTAGGAGAGAAACCGTGCATCCTGGGCGCTCCCAGTACACTCTTTCTCTGCCTGTACCTCTGTTCCACACGGAGCATGGGCGTGCAGCTAAAAGAACTGCGAGCTGCAAGACAATGCATTTCAGATTATCGAGCTAAGTTAACTAATTCACTCTCACCCACTCCCCCTTGCCACACCCATGCTGTCTTAGTAAAGAAGACAAATGCATGACCAATTTCGGTTTCCTCGAAACTATCGGCTTGTAAAAATTCCCAAATAACCTTGTCCTTTAGGATGGCCTGTTTTTAAATTTTGCTGTCAGTGGGTCTTTTCAATGAAGATTCAATGTTTCCAGGATTTTTTTTTTTTTTTTTTTACCTCCTCATCTATACTGACACTCTGATCAGATTGACAGATGTAAGTCATGTTCCATTAAAGTGACCACAATTTTGTATTTGCCTCTGAAATCTAAGGGAATTCATTTTGTTTGGAGTACCCTAAAATACATTTTGAAGATTAAGAAAAATCTTTTTTTCTTTTTGCATTTATTTTCCATGCCTTGCTCTTTTTGCTTGAGTCTGAGTTGAAGATTCAGAATCAGAATAGCAGCAGTAAATGAGCCGCATAACACAGGCTCGTTGGAAAATGCAAATGGAGAGGTGTGCAATTTTTCAGCAGCACCAGAGTGGGGAGGCCTGTGGCTGAGGCCTGTGTGTGAGGGGCTCTGTGGCTGTCCATTGGCCATAACAGTGCCCCCTTCTGGCCTCTGTCTTGTTGCCCAGACCAGGAATTGGACACAGACCCAGTGCAGCTTTGTCGCTGAGTGTCGGCTGACACCGTTTCTGTTTGGCACTGTGCTATGATCTGTGCTCTAAACCCTCATTTACTCTGTGCACATATTTACTCAGCAAGGGAAATAATTACCGCCTGGAAACCAGTCCAAGAAACGCTGAATGCTTCAATTTTCTAAAAATATGTATCTCAAAAAAATGTTTGGATTTTTTTTTCTACCTTCATTTGCTTTCATTTTGAAGAATTAAGTGGAATATAATAGTTGTGATGACGAGTAATCATTCTGCAACATGGGACTGAATTCAATGTACACCTGTAGGGGAATCCAAAATGTTGCTGCTGTTGGTATACACGCACAGAGCAGTTCCTGCAGTCATTTGTATTAAGTACTCAAATGTCATGGGAGCCCATTCCAAGCTGGAGGCCAGCAAGACAAGGGAGTTGATCACCCTAGTGGCTTCAAAGTAAATGCTGCTCTCCACCACCACCCTGAATATTCCCACGGAATCTCGCCACTCCCAGAGTCCTGATGTTTCTGTTCCTATGGATTATTTTTTCTAGGCATCCTCTCCCACAAATGCATACCTGAAGTGGTAGACAATTACCACCAAAGATTTCGTCTCTAGAATTTATAGCACATTCTTTCCCCTGAGGAATTCACGTCTCAGCCCATCAGACAGGCATATTACTCAGTTGGTAAGGAAGACATTTTCAGGGACCTGGGTGAGTTGAAATTATTGAATTTACAACCAATCCACCATAGATCAAGTGCAAGATTGTTTCTTCTTGAAGATTTCTGCACTTTTTGAGTTCCTTATCTGCAACTTTTTCAAGTTAGGAGAGAATTTTCCCAGACTGAAAATTCAGTGTCTCTGAATCACAGAGACTTGAGATCACACATCCTGCAAGAAAATCAGCCCTGAAGCTGGGAGCGACAGAAAGATGCTGTCTCTGTCTCCCTCACTGTGAGTGAAAGGCCCGGTCTTGTCCTGATTCCGCCCTGGGCTCTCATGCTGTCCTGTTCCTGGCCTAGAAAGTAGGGCTGATGACACCGCCTTGCAGGGCTGAGAGGTCACATGTGAGTGCATACTTGAGATGGCAGCACGGCCCTTGATTTTTCCATGGATTCACACCATGTGGTGGCTGTTTTTCTTTTTCTTTCTTTTTTTTTTTTTTTCTTTTTAGACAGAGTCTTGCTCTGTTGCCCAGTCTGGAGTACAGTGGCATGATCTCGGCTCACTGCAAACTCTGCCTCCCAGGTTGAAGCGATTCTCCTGCCTCAGCATCTCTAGTAGCTGGGATTACAGATGCCCACAACCATGCCCGGCTAATTTTTGTGTATTTTTAGGAGAGATGGGGTTTCACCATGTTGGCCAGGCTGGTCCCAAACTCCTGACCTCGTGATCCACCCACCACGGCCTCCCAAAGTGTTGGGATTACAGGTGTGAGTCACCACGCCTGGTCAGTGGCTGTTTCTTAGTAATAAAAAGCCTAGTTTAAAAAAAAAACAAAAACAAAAACAAAAAAACGGGGTTGCCTGGATGTGGTGGCTCAAGCCTATAATCCCAGCACTTTGGGAGGCCGAGGCGAGAGGATCACGAGGTCAGGAGATCGAGACCATCCTGGCTAACATAGTGAAACCCCGTCTCTACTAAAAATACATAAAATTACCCGGGCGTGGTAGTGGGCATCTGTAGTCCCAACTACTAGGGAGACTAAGGCAGGAGAATGGCATGAACCCAGGAGGCGGAGGTTGCAGTGAGCCGAGATCGCGTCACTGCACTCCAGCCTGGGTAACAGAGCAAGACTCCATCTCAAAACAAAAACAAAACAAAACACCAGGGGGTCTTTGACACTACATGGCCCTTGATTTGCCCATTGATGCACACCACATGATGACTGTTTCTTAATAATAAAAAAGCTGGTTAAAAAAAAAAAAAAAAAAAAAAAAAAACAGGGTCTCTGGCACTTCCTTGCCCTAGCACCGACAAGGCCCCGTCCATCTCCACACTCTTCTCTCGCTGCCCTTCTCCACTCCTCCTTAGGGCCTTGGCGCTAGCTGTTCTCCAGTCCCTGGCTGACTCTTTTGCATCCCAGTCTTTGCTGAAGAAAAAGAGCCTACAGCCAAAGTGCCTGTAAGCCTACAAATCTACAAACCTACTGTCTTTTTTTTTTTTTTTGCCTGTAAACCTACTGTCCCACCGTGCTGTACTTCTATCTTCTGTTTATTGTCTGTCTCCCCACTACTGGAATGGAAATCCTTCTAGGGATGCCCCTTTGATTCACTAGACATGTCCCAACACCTACAGGAGCATCTGGCACGTCATGGGTGCTCAGTTGGTGTTTATTGAGAAAGAGGGCGTATTTCACATGTCTGTATGTAAAATCACTGGCTTTTTCAATTCTTGGTTCCATTTTTAAAGTATCAATTCTAGTACAAAGACAAAGCTGTACTTTCTCTAGCGTGGTTTTGCTAATGATGGTAATAACAAAATGATAATGATACGGACTTACAATTTTTCCGGGATATCTTTTAATGTCAGTGTTACGCTGAGGCTGTAAAACATCTTCAAAATTAGTTCTTAGATGAGCCATCGGCTCATTGCATTAGAATAATCATGAAATGTTTGCTTTAAAGGAGTTATTTGTTTTCCTGATTTTAGGGCATATCTGCAGTGTACTTTCTTTCAGGGATAAGCTTGTGGACTGCTATCAAGATATCAGCAAAGCATTCACCAAAATCGATAAATCCAAAACCAACTACATATCCATATGCAAGATGCAGAAGGTGCTGGAAGAATGTGGCTGTTCTCTTACGGAAGGGGAGCTGACCAATCTGCTAAACAGGTCTTTTTTGCCTAGGTTAAATATGTTTCTCACAGCCCTGAAAAACATACTGGAGAATTGCCTTTGTTTCTTCTGTATGTCCTCCCAAACAGCCTTCTGAGATGAAAATATCCTCCATGTCTTCCTGTTGGCTGGGTTACACTAGAATGGGTTTGAGTCCACCCAAAGCAATAAAAGAAAGCACTCTGACAAATGCATAACTTTTCCTGATGTGTCTTAGCAGCAGTGCCACCATTTCTTAACATTAGTGGTTTTTTTTGTTTGTTTGTTTGTTTGTTTATTTGTTTTGTTTTTTGGAGATGGAGTCTCGCTCTGTCACCCAGGCTGGAGTGCAGTGGCACGATCTCAGCTCACTGCAATCTCCACCTCCCGGGTTCATGACATTCTCCTGCCTCAGCCTCCACAGTAGCTGGGGCTACAGGTGCCCACCAGCACGCCCGGGTAGTTTTTTGTATTTTTAGTAGAGATGGGGTTTCACCGTGTTAGCCAGGATGCTCTCGATCTCCTGACCTCATGATCCGCCCGCCTTGGCCTCCCAAAGTACTGGGATTACAGGTGTGAGCCACCATGCCCAGCTGGATGTCCCTACTTCTAAGTGACAGGTATATATTGCGACTTCTTGATTTTTCACTTTTAAGCAGTTTATATTGACTTACTACCAAGAAAATGTAGGTTTAACTATTGTCCACTCATCCCATGCCACCAACCGTCTCACCCCCTTCAGCCTCCATTACCCCATGGAGACACACGAAAGCTTACCTCCACATACCACATGCCTGTCGTATTGCTGTGTCAGTTTTGCTTCGCTCCACATCCTAGATCTACATTGCTATGACTAGCTCATCACTTTTCTTTTCTACATAGCACTTTTTCCCTGAAGTCAAATTATCCTATTTCTTCTGTTCATTTAGTTTCCTATGTACTTATTCTCCTACTAATTAAATCCCCAACTTAATCTCTTTCCAGTCCATGGAGACATATCAGCTAATCTGTCAGCTTCATCTTCTTGAAGATTGCCCTTTTCATGTTCTTCAATTCTTAGGAAGTTTCTTGACTTATTTTATTAATAAATTCCTCCCCTGTTCTCTTCTTTCTGAAACTCCTATTGTTATTGAATGTTGAACTGCCTGGACTGTTCTCTTACTTATTTTAAATCTTTTTTTCTCCTTTCTCTTTTTCTTTCTGCTTTACCTTCTGGGAGATTTCCTCAATTTTAGCTCCCAGTCCTTCTTTGAGATTTTTGTTTCTGCTGCCATACTTATATTTCTAATTACTAGAGCTCATTTTAGTTCTCTGTGTGTTCCTTTTTTATAACATCCTGCTCTTGTTTCATGGATGCACTGTCTCATTTCTCTGAAGGTATTAACAATAGGCTTTTTTAAAAAGTTTTCTTTAGCAAGTAAGTGTCTCCTCAGTGTTGCTTTTTAAATCTATTATTCATGTTGGATATTTTCTTCAAAAATATGTCCATACTAAGAGTGGAGGACAGGGTACTGAGTTGCAGATTAGAAGTTCTACCCAGATAGGTGGAGCTTGCTGACTTTGAATTGAACTGTATGGTAATCTGACTTGAAGTTTTCTTGAGGGGCCCCCAGTGTCAGTATCTTTAAAACTTTTTGTTTGGCCTTTTCAGATTTGCCAGAGAATAGACTTGCCAGATAAAATATAAGATGGTCAGTTAAATTAGGACTTCAGATAGGCAATAATTTTTAAATATAAGTATGTCTCATGTAATATTTGAGTTATACTAAAAATTTTGTTGTTTATCTGAAATTCTAATTCAACTATGTATCCCTGTAGATTTGGTGTGATGATTTGTTTATTTGTTTGCTAATTGGGCAACCCAATGAGAGAAGACTCTTTGGTCTTCTGATGTCAACACTAGGAACTGACTGGGCACAGAAGGCTGGATATTTCAGCAGTCACTGTGGTAAGCTGAATCATGCCTCCCAGAGATATACAGGTCCCGATTTCTGGAATCTGTGGACATTACCTTATTCGGAAAAAGGATCTTTATAGATGCAACTAAGCTAAGGACCTGGAGAAGGGAAGATGAGCCTGGGTTATCTGGATGGGCCCTCAATGCCATCACAGGTGTGCTTGTAAGAGGGAGGCAGAGGGAGATTTGAAACAGACAAAGAGAAGGACATGTGACCAGGGAGGCAAAGAGTGGAGTGATGTGGCCGCAAGCCAGGGGCTGCCAACTGCCCCCAGAAGCTGGAAGAGGCAAAGAACAGATTCTCTCCTGGAATCTCCAGGGAGAGTACAGTCCTGCCGACAACAGGGAACTCATTTTAGATTCTGGTGTCCAGAACTGTAGGAGAATCAATGTGCATTCCTTTAAGCCACCAGATATGTACTATTTTGTTACAAAGCCATAGGAAACTAACAGTCAGTATATATACTTTTATTTATATTATATATTAACAGTCAGTGTATATACTTTTTATTAATCCTCCCCTTTTCATTAAGAACCCTCCCTACCTTGGACTCAGACAGATGCCCTCCTGCTCAGAAACAGCATCTCCAGAGAATATACCTCTAGGTATATTCTCCCATTAGGGTTGGGAGGGACAGGCACCCAGACACGTGAAGTCTGACGAGAGGTCTGGGGTCTGCTTGCTTCCCAGTCTTTTAATCAACCCTATTTTAACTCTTCCTTGAGCTCCACTTCTAGATATACCTGATATCATCAGTTCCAGAGCCTCTGAGGGTATTTGCAGGGCATATCAGATCTTCTCTCTTCCACATTCCCTCTGTTTGTTTTATAAAGTAATTTCTTGGATTCTGATACATCTATTCCCATTACCTGTAGATTCTCCAGCAGCTGTTTTCTTCTTCCACATACTCCTAGTCCTTAGGAGTTTATGCCAGCAAACTCCAAGCATCGGAATCATTGCAAGGGCTCGTTAAAACTCAAGATTGTTGGGCCCCTCCCCCAAAGTTTCTGATTCAGTGGGGCCTGGGAATGTACATTCATAACAAGGGCTCAGGCGATGCTGATGCTGCTGGACTCTTGCACCCCACCCTGAAAACCACTGTTTTATACCTTTTAAAACTCCCTTTTCTGTCCTTTTAGAAGAGTTTTGAGTGGTAACAGAACTAGATATGTGTGTTCAAGCCACTGTATTTGACTGGAAGTCTTATTCTCGTGCACTTTTACCCTGAAACAACTTGAGCCACTTGCCTCCTCTGACTCCTATTTCTGTCTATATAATTTTGCTGCGCTGACAGAATGCATGACTTTTATGTCCCTTACTGTGTAAGGGGAAGAATGTTAGCACCCCGTTCCTCTTTTTTTTTTTTTTTTTTTTTTTTTTTTTGTTGAGGATGGGTCTCACTCACATCACGCCAGGTTGGGAGTGCAGTGGCGTGATCTCGGCTCACTGCGAACTCCGCCTTTTTTTTTTTTTTTTTTTTTTTTTTGAGATGGAGTCTCACTCTGTCGCCCAGGTTGGAGTGCAGTGGCGTGATCTCGGCTCACTGCGAACTCCGCCTCCCAGGTTCATGCCATTTTCCTGCCTCAGCCTCCCGAGTAGCTGGGACTACAGGCAGCCGCCACCACACCCAGCTAATTTTTTGTATTTTTAGTAGAGACGGGGTTTCACCGTGTTAGCCAAGATGGTCTCAATCTCCTGACCTCGTGATCCACCCACCTCGGCCTCCCAAAGTGCTGGGATTACAGGCGTGAGCCACCGCGTCCGGCCCCTTTCCTCTTTAAAACATTTTTTATCCCTTGAGCCCGGGAATTCAAGGCTGCAGTGAGCTACGATTGCACCATTGTACTCCAGCCTGGGCAAAAAAAGCAATACCATGTCACAAAAAAAAAAAAAAAAAAAAAAAAAAAAAATTCAGTGTTTGCTCAAGAGTTTGCAGTATACATTTAGAGCTAGCCTAAGCCCACCTTTAAGTAACACAATACAACTTAGTGGGAAGTACAGAAAACTTATAAAAGGGTATTTCCAATTTCTCCCTTCTGTGCCTGATAACGTGGCTGGCATTCATTTACCTGTGTGCTTCAATCACCCAACACATGGTGGTTATTATTACTCCACTGATCAACTCAGAGTGAGAAAATAAAAGATGTTATTTTACCATCACTTATTCCTTCTCTGACACCCTTCTTTTCTTGATGTAGATCTGTATGATTTTCCTTCTGTCTGAAGAATGGCTTTTTACATTTCTTGAAGGGTAGGGCTGCTGGTCATGAAGTCTCTCAGTTTTGTTTGTCTGAGAAAGGCTTTATTTCTCCTTTATTTCTGACAGAGAATACTGGATTTAGCATTCTAGGTTTAAGCTGTTGAAATATTTCAACACTTCAAACATTTCAGTCCACTCTCCTCTTGCTTGCATGATTTCTGGCAAGAAGCCTGATGTATTATAATTCATTATCTTTGTTCCTCTATAGATAAGGGTATTTTCCTAAGATTTTCTGGCTTCTTTCAAGATTTTCTCTTTGTCTTTAGTTTTCTCCAGTTTGAATATAGTATATTTAGGGCCGGGCACGGTGGCTCACGCCTGTAATCCCAGCACTTTGGGAGGCCGAGGTGGGCGGATCACGAGTTCGGGAGATCGAGACCATCCTGGCTAACACGGTGAAACCCTGTCTCTACTAAAAATACAAAAAATTAGCCGGGCGAGGTGGCTGGCGCCTGTAGTCCCAGCTACTCGGAGGCTGAGGCAGGAGAATGGCGTGAAACTGGGAGGCGGAGCTTGCAGTGAGCCGAGATTGTGCCACTGCACTCCAGCCTGGGCGACAAAGTGAGACTCCGTCTCAAAAAAAAAAAAAAAAAAAAAAAAAAAAAAAAAAAAAAAAAAAAGAATATAGTATATTTAGGTATAGATTTGGGGGGATTTGTCCTGCTTGGTGTTCTCTGAGCTTCCTGGATCTGTGATTTGCTGTCTGTCATTAATTTGGGGAATGTTTCTACCATTATTAATTAAAGTGGGTTTTTGTTTTTGTTTTGTTTTTGCTTTTGTTTGTTCTTTTGTTTTGTTTCTTTGCTTATTTCTCTTTCTCTTTCTGGTATTCCAATGATGCAAGTGTTACACATTTTGAAATTTTCTCCCAGTCTTTGGATATATTGTCCTGTCCACCCCTTCCCTTTCTTTTTTTCTTTGCATTTCATTTTGAGAGGTTTCTACTGACATACTTCAAACTCACTAATTCTCTTCTCAAACATGTCCAGTCTACTGATGAGCCCATCAAAGCCATTCTTCGTTTCTGTTACAGTGGTTTTTTTTTTTTTTTTTTTTAAATTTCTGGCATTTTCTTTTAATTCTTTCTTAGAGTTTCCATCTCTGATTACATTGCCCACTTGTTCTTGCATGTTGTTTACTTTTTCCATAAGAACACTTTACATATTAACCATAGTTATTTTAAATTCCCTGTCTGATAATTTCAAAATATGTGTCATATATGAGTCTGCTTTTGCAGCTTGCTTGGTTTCTTCATACTGTGCCTTTTCTTTATATGCATTGTAATTTTTGTTGTTGTTAAAAGCCAGACAGGAACTGAGGTATATAGGCCTTTAGAGATTTTATGTTCATTTGGCTGGGAGTTAGGATGTGTTTAATGTTTGCTGTAGCTATTGGTGCAAAGGCTGCAATTTCCTCCAGCATCCTTGTTTATTCCTCTCCTGTTTTCATGGGTTTCCTTAGGAGCTCCTTCTTAAATAGACTAGGTGTTTTGCAGTTCTTTCCGTTGTAATCCATTATTATTTCACTAGAGCTGGGTTGATGTGGTGGTAAAATATTGGGGAGGGGAAACATTCTATAGTTTTATGATTACATTTCTGTCTTTTAGTGGGCTGAGTCCATGGGCTGCAACCTTTAGAAATATTTATTGAGTTTTTTCTGCTTAGGTGAAACAGGAATGTTAGAGGGGGCTGGAGTTGGCTGATTGTCCTTCCCCCAAAGCTAAGATAAGGCTCTCAAAAAGTCTTTTCCCTTGGAAAGTAGTTATAGAGAAGGCTCAGGACATATTTCACCAGGATTGCTCTTCCCCTTCCCCTACCAGAACCCTGAGGGGATCTTTCTCAGATCTTCACTCAGAAGCTAGTGAGACTCCTGAAGCTAGTGAGACTCCTGAAGTTAAAGCCCATGAAAGTGGTGGTGGGGGTGGGGAGGTACCTAAGACTGGGCCCCCAGAATTTCTTACTCTTACACTAGTCCACACTCAGTTTCTACCAATTTGCCACGATTACCATGTAAGTATTCCTGCCAGCCTGTGACTCCAAAGGCTTTTGCTCCAGGAAAACAGGCCCCAGCTGTGATTCTCTGCATGTGCCTGTGTCTCCAGGTTTCAGGGTGACATTTTGCCCCATGACCTCAATTCTTCTCCTCCTCTCTCTGCCACTTTCCCCACTCCTTCCACGTCCACCTTTTGGCAGCTACACTTTGATTTTTCCTTTGGTTAGGTAGTTAGATTTAACCTTCTGTCCCGCAGCCACAACTAGTTCCTTCCTGCTTGGTTCATAGGTTGATTCTAAAACTTGAAAACTATTAAATACCATTTTATTATAACTATGTAAATATTGTTCAGTGTCAGGTAATGAAAGAAAACTAGCTTGTTTTCCAGTTGTACGATCCCTGAGCCTCTAGCCTTAGTATCAAATAGATTCTCTTGTAGATCACACCAATTGCTGAAAATCATTTCACATTTGTCTCAGTCCCTTTAGGCTGCCATAAAAAAATATAAATTGGGTGGCTTATAAACAACAGAAATTCATTTCTCACAGTTCTGGAGGCTAGGAAGTCCAGTATCGAGGTACCAGCGGATTTAGTGTCTGCTGAAAATGTCCTGGATCATAGATGTCTGTCTTTTCACTGTAACCTCATGTGGCAGCAGGGACAAAGGTCTCTCTGGGGCCTCTTTCATAAAGGCACTAATCTCATTCATGAGGGCTCTGTTTTCATGAACTAATCACCTCCCAAAGGACTCACCTGCTAAAAGGTCATTACCTTAGGAGTTAATATTTTAACATATGAATTTTGGGGGGACACAAATAGACCATAGCAATATTTTAAATTTGTTTCATATCTATACTATGATTTTATTGGATAGGTTATTTCCTGGAGTTTAATTTATTCTTTATTTTCTTTATGATATTTGCCTTTGTTTTATCTTGTCAAGTAAAGACAAATCCATACTTAGGTAAAAGAGATTTTATCTGCAAAGACTATTGCAGCAGGGAGAGGAAGATTATTACAATAGAGAGAATGCCCCAACCATGAAATCTGTAAGCATCTCAAAGAGCAAGCAGAAGAGGGCTTTTGTTTAATAGGGAAGAGTAAACAAGGATAGAAAGAACCAAGCATGGGGAGTAAGATGAATAGATGGTGTGACCAGACAGCTGAGCAAGAAACATCTTTCCTGTGGTCAGAGTCCCTGAGGAGCTATTAGGGAGGGGCTATTCCACATTCTGTTGCTGGCTTAGGCTGAGGTGGGTCCAAGTTCAAGGTTCTGGAGGAAGGAGAGTAGCTTAACTAAACTGTGGTCAGTTAGCAGATATTTTGTCCAGACTAGTCAGTGGGAACAAACAGTTCAGCTAATAATTTATGAGACTGAGACTGGGAATTTGGAGGGTCTATGTCCTTGCTATCAGAGGTAAGCCTTGGGGCGTCTATGAATCTTTTCTAAGTCATATAGGGAAAAGGTAGTTCTTTGCAGTAGACTTATCTAGGGACATTAAGGTTGGGGTGATTTATTTAACCATCACTTTTTTATAGAACAGGGCTCAGATAAAGTTCATTATTTTTGACCTTCAGGTTTCCCCAGCATTCTATTCCACTTTCTCCTCTCTTGAGTTTTTTCCCCCTGGCATCTCTATTTGAGAACCTACCCCCGCCCCCCACCATTTTCCTGCTCTAGTTCTGTGATCCAAAGAGCATCCTGTGCTGCCTCCACTATTGTCTAGGTTGGATCCCCTGTCTCCTATATCCCACATCTCTTTATTTCTTGATTTACATTCTTCTTTTGCTGGAGTACTTCCTGAAGTAATCTCATAAGAAAGGGTGGACAGGAAGTAAATTTTCTGAGTTCTTATTGAACTGAACTTTTTAAATTCTTCTTCGCACACATTGCTGGATTGTCTGAGCATAGAATCTTAAGAAGAAAATTATTCCCTTAAAAGTTTGAAAACATTGATCCATTGTGTTTGAACTATGAGAAGTCCGATGCCTGTGTGTATGTATGTGTGTGTGTGTCTGTGTGTGTGTGTGTGTGTGTATAGAAAGGAAGGACCATTTCATCCTCAAATGCTTATATGTTTTTTTCTTCCTTAAACAGGATCTCCTCTCGCTGAATCTATTTCCAGCTGAACAAGAATTCATATGCATTCAATGAATAAATCATGGAAAAATAGCAGATAACTAAATGATTATAAGAGATTCTTGTTAAAACATAGGCTTGATACTTTTATAAACAACAACAAAAGGACTGTGGGATATCTGAAGCCCACCTTTCAATGGGGGTGATCAACTTTTTCATGCGTTGAAACCTTAATAAGGATCCATTGCACAGTTGCTTATTTCTTCTCAAAGACCTCTTGATGATAAACATCTCTGTTATTTGTAATTATATGTAGATTATTCTTTTCTAGATCCAAAATAGACTTTTCTAAATACTACTGAGATTAGCATATGCATATGATTTTATTACTACATTTTAATACCACGTTGGCAATTTCTCCCGCTGATGAAATAGTGTTGATTGTCCTTTTCCTTGATGTCGCCATCATGCAAGCCGACCCAATGCAGGGCCTGTGCAAGGCGGCTCTGCAGCTGTGGGTTGGAAAAGCTCAGCTCTTGGCTCGTCTTCTTTAGAAGCAGATATCTGATCACTGGAAACTTCTCTCTCCAGCTTACCAGCATTCCAAGCTCTTCTACGTTGACACTTGAGCCCAGTCCTGCTGAGAGAAAGTTTAGGTGTTTAAGTGCCAGCAATTCCCCAGGAATTTAAGTTGCAGAAATGTGAACTTTGAATGCAATTAAACTTTACTTTGAATTATTTTGCATCTTTAATAGATATACTATATGTTCCCTGAGACTTTTGGATTTTACCTCACAATTTAGTCTTCCAGAACTTAGGTAATTTCTTCTGTGTCAGAGTCAAGGGGATGAAGGAGCCTCTGTTTCCACAGGGATGTCCTTGCTGAGCCATCGATGCAGGTGGAATTTTTATTTGAGAAAATCCTCAGCTAGATAGGTTTTGCAAAATACCTTTTGACTGCTTTCAGCTTGACAACTTCATTTCAACCACTCCTGAAAGAGAATTTAATATATTTCTTACTCATTTCCTCTTCTTCTTTTCACTGTCTTTGACATGTTTCCTCTCTTTCAAATCCCACTGCCATTTCTAAGTCCAGGCCCTTCTTAGTTAAGGCCTCCATGACCCCAGGAGCCTCCCATCCAGACTGCTACTCTCCCGCCACTGCCACCACCCCACAGTCTCACTTCCAGACTGTCTTTGAGGTGCTGTCAGATTTATCTTCCCATGATACTGCTCTGCGAATGTCATATCCAACATACTTTCATGTGCCCCCATCATAGGGCCGGATTCTCAGCAGACATCTCCCTTCATCTTCTGCGAAGCCACCAACCTTGCTATCCCTTCATGCCTCAGGTCTTCAGGCCAGGCAGCTGTGGCCCCCGGCCGTCAGTGAACTGCACTGTCACCTCTTATCACCCTGAGTCCTTGTATTGCAGAATGTGTGTGCCTGCCTGATAGCAGAGCTAACTACCATGTCTGCACCTACAGGGCGGGGAATGGTGTCTTAAAATTATTCATTTTCCCCACGCCACGTTGCTCTGTGCTCAGCAACTGTTTGTTGAATGAATAAGCAGTAGGATGGCTTTTAAAATGAATATGTTCTTTTCTTCCTTTTGGGACAAGCTGGGGAGTCAGCCGGCATGATAATTCCATCAATTACCTCGACTTCCTGAGAGCAGTGGAGAACAGCAAGTCAACAGGAGCTCAGCCCAAGGAAAAGGAAGAGAGCATGCCAATCAATTTTGCAACGCTGAATCCACAGGAGGTTGTGAGGAAGATCCAGGAAGTAGTTGAGTCCTCCCAGCTGGCTTTGTCCACGGTATGACAGGCTGAAAGTGCTTTATTGTGAAAACTCATCCTGATTCATGAAAACACCTCTCAGCCCCACCCTGAAACCCCTCCCATCTCTGTTCATTCTCCTTGGGGTGTCTAGTTAACCACGAGCAGAGCTTTTATGTGAGTAAATGTGTATCCACTCTTCCACCCCAGCATGTGCTCTCCAAGTTGGGAGCGCTCAGCATTTACAAATGCTGACTCTGGGGTGAGGTCATGGGACTCTGGGCAAAAAAGATAGAAAATAGAGGCCCTTGGGCAAGAGCGGGCTCAGCACATCCTGGGAGCTCTCAGTGCAGCCAAGCACTGGTCCCACAGAGATGAAGGACTCAAGGTGGCCTTGAAGAGGTTGAACTGGGCCGGGCTGTGGCACAGAGACTTCATTGTGAAGTCCTCCGGGAGCAACCTGAGTAGGCTGACATTCTGCAGCTTCCATCTGCATGGTGCTTTAGACAGTGTACACAATGATTCCTGCATGTAGGGAATGATGCCTGTGTGTGTGGAATGATGCCTGCATGTAGGGAATGATGCTTGTGTGTGTGGAATGATGCTTGCATGTAGGGAATGATGCCTGCATGAACAGAATGATGCCTGCGTGTAAGGAATGATGCCTGTGTGTGTGGAATGATGCCTGTGTGTGTGGAATGATGCCTGTGTGTGTGGAATGATGCCTGTGTGTGTGGAATGATGTCTGCATGTAGGGAATGATGCCTGCATGAATGGAGTGATGCCTGCATGTAGGGAATGATGCCTGCATGAATGGAATGATGCCTGTGTGTGTGGAGTGATGCCTGTGTGTGTGGAATGATGCCTGTGTGTGTGGAATGATGCCTGTGTGTGTGGAATGATGCTTGCATGTAGGGAATGATGCTTGCATGTAGGGAATGATGCCTGTGTGTGTGGAATGATGCCTGCATGTAGGGAATGATGCCTGTGTGTGTGGAATGATGCCTGCATGTAGGGAATGATGCCTGCGTGTAAGGAATGATGCCTGCATGTAGGGAATGATGCCTGCGTGTAGGGAATGATGCCTACATGTATGGAATGATGGTTGTGTGTGGAGTAATGATGCTGTGGACTGTGCTGGTGTCCTTGGATATTGTGTTTGGAACCAGCCTCCTGGTGAGGTAGTGCTCCCATGTGAGTTTCCCCATGTGTCAGCATCAAGAAGGGAAGTTGCTGTCTGCAGAGGGCAGGCATCGGAGATGAACAAGGCAGCACATTGGAACCATCCTGTGGGAAGCCAGCACCCAGAGCCCAAACAGCCACAGCATCCCAGACTGCAAGATCCAGTCAACACCTCTCAATCCCCACAGTGAACATCCCTTCTAACATCACAGAGTCCTGGCTCCACACATTCTAGAGGGCTTCCCGGGGCGCTGGGGGCCACAAGCCCTAATGAGAGTTCATGAGTCTTTTTCTCTTTGATCATAACCTTGCAAGGTGGGGCTCGTGATTCCACTCTATAGGAGGGGAAGCTGAGGTTCAGCATGAATAAACCTGCCCAGGGTCACACAGGGACTATGGAGCAGAGCCCGGAACATGAGAAGGAAGGGGAAATGGATTTGTCACAGCCCTTTTCCAAATCCCGGTGGTTTGAAGAATTAAAGTCCTGAAGATCTTTACTTGAGATGTGCTGTCTACTGCCCATGACTTCTTTTGAGGATTGACCTTGGTGTCTTGACTTTTGAAGAAATCAAGGCTAGTGACCCTTTTAGGGTATCAGACTCTTGGAGGTGGGAATCACTCACTCTCCATTCCTGAGATCTATTTTAAGCTTTTTTTTTTTTTTTGTAAATCACATCCCAATTTCCTTGGTGTAGGGAAGCAAGGTGGGCTCCGGAGTCCCGGTGTGAGGGATTAGTGGGGAGGGAAGGGGTGAGGAGGGGCGGCCCAGCCAGCTGAGCGACACACAAGGCTCCTCTTCACTCTCGAGCCTGCCGCTGTCGCTGCCCCTGCGGCACAATTGGCTGTGTTCATTCTTGTGATCGTTCTCCTTAACATTTGAGATCCCCAGGGGCCAGGTACCTGGATGGGGGCATTTTCCAGTAAACTTAGGAAAATTTACACCTGCCCTCTGAGTTAAGTCCATCTTTACAGTGAAGAAGCTAAAGTTTAGAGAGGTTCAGGACTTACGGTGGGCAGCAGAGCCCAGGTTTCCAGAACAACTCCTGGCTAGGGGACTTCCCACTGTACACAGCTACCTCGTGTTACCACGGACTACATGAAAATGTGAAGCTATCTGACATTTTAAGGTTAATTTGATTACACATATGCCATCACCCTGTTAGGCCAATGGGGTGTGCCTAATTAGCCCCGAATGAGAATTAATCAGAAGGGTGTGGGGTTTGCAGGCACTCTAAATTCTTCCTTTAAAAAAGATTTTAATCTACCCCTGGATGCAGATTTCCCGGTGCAATAAAAATGAATGATTTTATTTCGACAGATGGAAAAAAAAAAAAGTGCTTTCTTTTTATAGCACATTTTTGCACTTTTTCAGTTTAACTCCTCTACTGTAGGATTTGCAATGTGTGCCCCCTCTGCTCCAGTGCAGGCCTGGGGTAGTTTCTCATGATGCGAGGCCACTCGGGTCTGGCCGAGACTCAGGAAAGGACAGCAGCCGTGCACAAGCCTTGCTGTGAAGGACAGTGGTGAGGTCAGGGTAGTCCCCTGATCCCTCCTCCCAGCTGCTCCCACAGTCAGACTACTGCCTTGAGAGACCTCCTGTTACAACTAATTAATACTTAAAGGAAGTAGAATGTAAGGGCCAAGAGAGCTTGAACAAGTTACTCTCTGCTCTGTTCTGTAAAACAGGGATCCTGGGAGCAGGGGTGAGGCTTCCATCAGGACGGTTATGGGTGCTTTGGGCCAGGATTCCTCTTTATTCTCCTTCCTCCTCACATCCAAATAGGAGCAAGTAAGGCGAATTTCCTCTAGAACTCATAAGCTCCCGTACTGCGTTCATATCGTACTTGTCTCAGTCCTTCAATAATGGTGCATTTATTTAGTAATTTAGAATTTACAAGGTGCTTTTATACACTAGGCTTCCTTTGCATTCAGCAGAAACGGTACTTAAGGAAAGTGTTTTAGAAGTATTCATTTGACAGCATTTGCCATCTTTTTTTCTTTTCTTTCTTTTTAGGCATTTTCTGCATTGGATAAAGAGGATACAGGATTTGTAAAGTCTACAGAATTTGGACAAGTTCTTAAGGATTTCTGTCACAAACTAACGGACAATCAGTATCATTATTTGTTGAGGAAACTAAGAATTCATCTAACCCCCTATATAAATTGGAAATATTTTCTCCAGAACTTTAGCTGTTTCCTTGAGGAGGTAAGAACGTCTGCAGCACATAAGCATCTCTTTGAAAATGAGCTAAAAGTAGTTTTTACAAAATGGATAATTGATTAGAACCATGTCAGATAAATTGGCAATCACCTCATGTAATTAGCTCATTCTAAATGAAACACTGGTATAAATTCTACAGACTATTAGAAGGTGAATATGCATCCTTTACTTTGTTGGAAATTTTTATTATTTTATTTTATTTTATTTTTCAAAGAAGTTTGGGAGCTTGTTTTCTCTGGTTGTTTTAGAGTTCTAAGGAGTCTTAGATCCCAGAAGATGGTCTGGGGAATGAGATTACTAAAGCAAAGAGCATGAACATTTTTCAGGTTTGAGGTGAATCCTAGCAGCAAACACTATAGCATGTCTTCTGTGTACCTGCCACTATTTCTGGTCCTTTGTATATATATTAACATGTATAATCATAATCATGTTGAGGTCACTGTGAGATACAAGCTATTAATATCCCCAGCTGAGAGACAAGGCCTTAGCACAGAGACATAAGGTATTATCCACAGTCACCCAGCTAGTGAGTGGTGGGGCTGATTTGTAAGCCTGACTCCAGGTGCCTAAACACTGTGGTTTTTGTGATTTTTTTCATTTTTGCCATTTAGATGGATGTTTCTGAACAAAATACACTATTGTGTTGCATATTTTTAAGCTTTATATAAGTGATATGATATTGAATATTGTATCTGCACTTATTTTTTCTTGCTTATAGTAATGTATTTAAGATTTATCCATGTTAATATATTGGCTTTAGTTGATGCATTTAAGCTGCTATAAAAAGTCAGTGGCTCATGCCTGTAATCCCAGTACTTTGGGAGGCCGAGGTGGGCAGGTCACCTGAGGTCAGGAGTTTGAAACCAGCCTGGCCACATGGTGAAACCCTGTCTCTACTGAAAATACAAAAAAAAAAAAAAAAAAAAATAGCTGGGTGTGGTGGCGGGTACCTGTAATCCCAGCTACTCAGGAGGCAGAGACTGGAGAATCACTTGAACCCAGGAGGCGGAGGTTGCAGTGAGCCAAGATTGCACCACTGCACTCCAGCCTGGGCAACAGGGCAAGACTCTGCCTCAAAACAAAAAAACAAAAAACAAAAAAAACAAAACAAAAATCCAGTCTATTAACTGAATATATGATTGTGCCATTCGGTCGTCACCCTCCAGTTAACGAACATGCAGCTTGTTCTCAGTTTCCTTCATTACAAGAAAAGCACCAGTCCCCCTTCCGTGCCTATCTCCTTGTGTGCACACACTGGAGCTCCTCTGCCTGGAACTGCTGATGGGAGGGCGGGTCCACGTTCAACTTCCCAGAAACGGCCACTGTTCTTCTAAGTGACTGTGCCAGTGTACAGCCTTACCCATGGTACAGGAGAGTTCCTGACACTACACATCCCTGCTGTCCCTTGGTTTTGTTAAATGTTTTAACTTCTGCCATCTGATCATTAGTCAGGTCAAACACTTCCATGGGTTGTCAGCTATTCAGGTCTCGTCGTCTACAAATGACCTGAAAGGCTTTCAGCCCTTGGTTGGCATGTGGGTTGCAAATACCTTCTGCTGGTCTGTGGCTTGTCTTTGCTCTTGTTTTATAGTGACCCTCGCTATTTTTATGATTGTGTGTGTGTGTGTATGTGTGTGTGTGTTTTGTCATTTTAAAAGGAATACATATTCACGAGAGACATCGGGGACAATGCAAAAAATATATGTAAAAAAGGATAGCAAGGCCGGGCGCGGTGGCTCAAGCCTGTAATCCCAGCACTTTGGGAGGCCGAGACGGGCGGATCACGAGGTCAGGAGATCGAGACCATCCTGGCTAACACGGTGAAACCCCGTCTCTACTAAAAATACAAAAAACTAGCCGGGCGAGGTGGCGGGCGCCTGTAGTCCCAGCTACTCCGGAGGCTGAGGCAGGAGAATGGCGTAAACCCGGGAGGCGGAGCTTGCAGTGAGCTGAGATCCGGCCACTGCAGTCCAGCCCGGGCTACAGAGCCAGACTCCGTCTCAAAAAAAAAAAAAAAAAAAAAGGATAGCAGTAATCTAGACCCCATGATGATGGGGATGATGACAGGGACAACCTTGGCCACCGTTTAGTGAGCACCTACTAAGCTCTGGGCCCTTCACGTGCACTTTCTCATCTCACTGTCTTGCCCGTTGGGGAAGGCGGAGTAGACATGCTCTCGGAAATCAAATAGCCACCTGCGCTCAGCAAAGTGGCAAGCCAGAGGATTCACCTTCAGAGCTGGTGTTCTTTCTAAGCACCATCCTGCCTTAGAGATCTTTTTTTCTTTTTTCCTATTTCTAATGCATTTTTTTTAACAGAGTGGAGATGACAGCGTATGAATATATATATATATGTGTGTGTATATATATATACACACACACACTCATGTATCCTGCTTTTTTTCACTTAATGTTAAATTGTACCATGTCACTTAAAGGTTTCCCAAACATCAGCTAAAAGGTCTATATCACATTCCACCCACGCCCTTATTTTTAAGCATTTAGGATGTTTTCCTCCAGCTTTTGCCTCTCTTATTTACAGTGAACACTTTGTATGTAAATCTGTATCCACATTTTGGATTCGTTCCTTAGGAAAGATCCAAGAAATAAAATAACTGGAGTCAAGGGGTAGGGGTCGTTTTATTGACCTTAAAAGCAGCGCCTTATATATTTTTTAAATAATTCTGTTCTATTGGGTTGGATTATATGAAATTACCATTTTTAAAGTCATAAATGGTTGAATGTTGACAATTTCATATGATTTAAGCTAACATTCATAGAAATTGTTTATGTCCATTATATACTGTTTGGAATATGCTGATACAGTTGAAGAAAATAATTAAAATCACCCCTTGGGACAACTACTGTTAATACTTTGGCATGTTTGCACCCAGCCCTTTTTTTTTTTCTTTTTTGAGACAGACTCTCACTCTTGCTACCCAGACTGGAGAGCAATGGCGCGATCTTGGCTCACCACAACCTCCGCCTCCCGGGTTCAAGCGATTCTCCTGCCTCAGCCACCTGTGTAGCTGGGATTACAGGCATGTACCACCATGCCTGGCTAATTTTTGTATTTTCAGTAGAGATGGAGTTTCTCCATGTTGGTCAGGCTGGTCTTAAACTCCTGACCTCAGGTGATCCACCAGCCTCGGCCTCCCAAAGTGCTGGGATTACAGGCGTGAGCCACTGCACTTGGCCCCTTTTTAGTATACAAACGTCCTTTAGGAGTAGGGTTGAGGACAGACCATGTATGCTGCTGAGTTTGGGGGTTGTGTTCTGAAGTCTTGCAAGTCTTTTTTTTTTAACAAACATTTTTCATTTGTATCAAAGTAACATATGCCCATATAGAAATAAAATTGAATTGTTGCAAAACACTTAAAAACAGAGATCACTTGACTTACCCATGTAACTTCCAGTCCTGCTCCTCAAGAGCAATCACTTTTATTTTTATTTTGGTTTTTTGCTGTTTCTTCAGCTGCATATGTTCCTGTCTCTCAGTAATATTCTTACGCTGCCATTTCCTAAATGAGCAGTCTCAGGCATTATTCACTGATGTGCTGATGTGACAGATCAGGGATCCTGCTCTCCTCTTCCAGCTCTGCTGGCCTCTCCTCCAGGGTCCCCTGGCCTGTTCTTTTCTGCCTTTTCGCCTCCTGTGGTAGCACTGGCGTTCTCTGGGGTCTTCATTTTCCTCTAAAGCATGGATTCCATCTAGCATGCGCCATTCCATCGTGTGGGTTCATTCACTCTCTCATGACACGTGTTTCCTATGGCCAATGTGTACCAGGCACTGAGCTGGGTGCCAGGTTTAGCAGCAAACTAAACAGATGCAGTCCCTGCCTCCAGAAGCCCCATTCTAGTGAGGGAGACAGAGCAGGAGTGAGTGACTCAGTCACATGTCAGGTTCCAGCAGCAGCTGGGAGAAAAATGGAGCAGAGCAGAAGGGAAGGCCTGACGAGGGGTGACATTCAAGCAATGGGGAGGGGAGGGAGTGAGCAGTGACATCGGGCAAGGGACTGGCCAGCACCGCTAATGCGGTGGCACCCGCAGGAAGGGGCCAACTGGTTTGGGGGCAGATGAAGGAAAGGTCTAAGGAGATGGGGCCAGGGAACGAAGGAGCCAGGTGGCCGTAGGCTTGGAGTCCTTGTAAAGACTTTGGCTTTGACTCTGAGTGACACGGGGACTGTCTTAGGCTGCTCAGGAGCTATAACAAAATACCCCTAAAGGACCTGCAAGTGGAGAAGACCGGGCTTGAAGCTCCACGTCTGCTGTCCCCCCTCAGCGTGGCCTGAGTGTCCTCATGCACAAGTCGCAAGGAGCCTCTGCTGATCCTGGAATTGCCGGACCAAGGAGAGAACATTCCTAAAGCTTTATGTACTGTCAGCTTGCCTCCCCCAACGTTGGTTAGTTCTGCCCAGTTCTCTTGGCAAAGAGTCGCCTTCACCTCCAGAAGCACCTGCTCAACATCCTAGTGAGAAAATTGCAGCAAGAGGGAAGAGGAGAAATGTGCTTGGAGACAGGAAATGATCACGGTGGGCTGGGAACCGTGGATGCAGAGGTGGCACTGTCCCTGCAGCATGCGTCCCTGCACCGGCCACCTCCTGCCCTGTCCCATCAGTGTGTGATCTGTTTTCTGGGAATTCAATGGGATCAACCCCCTAAATTGGCCTAGGATGATGCACCTGGCCGAGAAGCTAACACCTGAGCTCAGACAAATCGGAAAAGCGTGCATTTACCAGGAGGATGAGTAAATCCTTGAGCAAACGATTTCTGGGCTGGAAGGGCAGCACAAAACTGCAAGGAACATGACGTGGCAGGAGGAGGGGGGTGACCACAGAGCAAGCAGTTCCGTTCGTAGTGAATGACAGAGTAGGTGTGAGTTTTCTTTTGTCCTGTTTAGTTGCAGGGAGCAGGAGATGGTGGCAGAGACAGACCACCTGGGTCCTGCAACCTTGCTTGCAGAGTTTAGGTCCCTTTGTCTGAATA